TTTTTTTTTTCTTTTGGGTACCAAGGATGGACCTCAGGGACACTGGACCTTTTTTCTTTTGGGTACCAAGGACACTGGACCCCTGAGCCCCGTCCCCAGCCCTATTTTGTATTTTATTTAGAGACAGAGTCCAGAGTCTCTCTGAATTGCTTAGGGCCTCGCTTTGGCTGAGGCTGGGTTTGAACTCACAATCCTCYTGCCTCAGCCTCCCGAGCTGCTGGGATGACAGGCGTGGGCCACAGAAGAGGCCACCGTCCAGGACACAGCGGGGCTAGACAGACACACAGATAGATGCGAGGCYGTGTGAGCTCGTCACTGTGTGGGTGCCTACACCTGTTTACACATTGTGCATACGCTGTGAATGTCACCTACGTCTGTCAATGTGTTCAGTGGGTTACAAGATATCAGTGGATGACATTGACAGAACTAAAACCAGTATATTCCAATATGTCCTATGCACATGTGTGTATGTACACACACACGTATGCACATTAAAATCACATGATACATGTGTATTGAAATGCTAATGTATTAATTGGCAAGACTGATACTAATATATTGATTTATGCTATACACCCATGTATATGTACACACATGTGCATATATTAAAACGACATATACGTGTATTACAATGCTAATGCATCATATCGACATGATTAATACCAATATAATTATAACTTATGTTCATGTGTACATAAACACATGTTTATGTGCATATATACTAACATGACATACATACACCTGTGTATATGCAATGTGTGTATATGGATATGATCTATACATATATGTATATATGCAAATATATGCATGTAGGAGTGTGTGCATACATTAATACAATATGATATATTCACATGCATGGGTAGATGTATGGGCATGTGTATAAATATATAATGCACATATAAAAGGGTTTTCCACAGAGGGTAAAAACTCTCCTTCTGCTTGTGCTATTATTATATATACCATAATATAATACATCATAGATAGTGTATTATATGAGTATATATTTATAATATATATCAGGAATTTTGTACACAAAATGACTTTATATATTTATATCATTAAATATATATTATATTATACCGTTATATAATTTAAATGCATTGCTCATATATTTTATGGACATAATTAATGCTAATATATTAATATAATGAAATATATACCTACATATGCATATATATATATATATATATATATGTACATGTATCTATGCATATGTATTAACGGTTTGTGTTTAGATATGTGAGTACATTAATATGATACTATATGTATACATGCTCATAAATGCATATTAACATAATATAGTATATAAGTATATGCTTACATATATTCATGAGTAAATATATATGCATACAGAGCACTTTAAGTCTATATCAATTAGGGTTTTTCAGGCACGATTATAAGGGTCCTGGTTTTGCTTGTCTGGTGAACACTAACATCATATATGGTATAATACAATACACAATGGGAAATGTACAATATTTGTTATTGTACTAAATATTTACATATATAACAAACATGTAACACCATGTATACTTCTATGTATTTACATCAGTAAGTACTTGTTATATTGTTATAACGTGTTAATACACAATAGATTGACACGATCAGTCCCGTGTGCTAAAACATCATGCACGTGCACACACGTGCACATGGATGTGCACATATTGACACATGCTGTGTGCATTCGTGTGCACAAGAGAACTTCACAGATCAGGGTTTTCCAGAGGGGACCCGCCTCTCYTCCTCCTTCCCCTTCTCTGGAGAACACTCGCGTCTCCTGTAACGAGGTCTCCTGTAACCTCGTGCGTAATGGAAAATGCGGGATTCAAAGTGCAATACAASCCGGGTGCGGTGCCACACGCCTGTCGTCCCAGCCACTCCGGAGGCTGAGGCAGGAGGATCGCGAGTTCAAAGCCAGCCTCAGCCTCAGCGAGGCCCTAAGCCACTCAGGGAGACCCTGTCTCTAAATAAAATACAGAATAGGGCTGGGGATGGGGCTCAGGGGTCGAGTGCTCCTGAATTCAATCCCTGGTACAAAATTTAAAATTGCAATTGGATCTGTAAGGTCATGTACAACCTGGAACGCGACCCTCTTAACCTGAGCTTTGCGCATCCATGACGTGGAAACGCAGTGGAGACCCACGTACGTGTAAGGGACACGCACATGGCAGAGGCCCGTCCAGTGGAAACGCAGTGCAGACCCAGCGATAGGAGGGTGAAGGACGGGAGCACAGGGCGCAGCAGCTTTGCAGTGGGATCTGCACTGTGCTCCCCGCAGGGGCTCTGCATGCGCCTCGGGCACCTTGGACAGTCTCGGGTCAGCATGGCAGGGCCACGCAGGGGCCTCTTCCAGGGTGGACACGAAGGACCATGACCTGTCCAGGGACCAGCGCGGACCACAGGAAGCCCCAGCCCTGCCCCTGGACCCCCGGCTGCGCACAGGATAGTGGACGCTCTGCGCTTTGGCTGCACCTCGGTGCCTGGCCTCGCCACTCTGCAGGCGCACGAACGCCCCCGGGGGTTCTCTTACCTGTCCACCAGCTTCTTGGCGAACCCGAAGTCCGTGAGCTTGATGTGGCCGTCCCGATCCAAGAGTATGTTCTCCGGCTTCAGGTCCCTGTAGACGATGTCCCTGCAGTGCAGGTACTCGATGGCGCACACGATCTCCGTGGCGTAGAAGAGCCCCGTGCTGCAGGGGAAGCGGCCGCGGTTGCGCAGGTAGCTGAAGAGCTCGCCGCCCGGCACGTACTCCATCAGCATGTAGAGGAAGCGGTCGTCGTGGCTCGTCCAGAACCTGCGGGGACCAGGAAGGGCGCATGCTCAGGTAAGGGAACCCTCGCTGCGCGCGTGCGCCTGAGATACGCGTCAGGTGGCTGTGGCTCCAGGGGGATGCGCACGGCCTCGCTCAGCTGCTGAGGCTGGCYTTGAACTCGCGRTCCTCCTGCCTCAGCCTCTGGAGCWGSAGGGAGGACAGACGTGCGCCATCGCGCCCTGAGGWGGGTGTCAAGATGCACAGGGACTAAGACGCGCTCACCTGCAGACGTTAGCACGGSGTATGGAGGCTCGAAGATGCTTAGGGTGCAGAGGGACCGGTGTATGCATGGGGCRTGCACACCTGTTAGCAGGTGCAGGTAGAGGAGGATCAGGGTGCCTATGGACAGACGGACACCTTGGGGACACGGACATGTCAAGACGCACAAACAGATAGATGCTCAGTGTGCGCACATACTGAGGACATATTCAGTGAGATGTCCCAGGACGGGGACTCACAGATGTGAAAATGGACCCACACACRGATTTATGGCCTTGGTGAGGACCCAGAAGGAGACACCCGGAGCTCCATGGTGGAGCCCAGCTTAGCAGGAGCCACGACGGGAGATCCATCCCCGGCACCAAAAGAAGAAAAGAAAAATGTGCGTCCAGTTAGGAGCCGGTGATGCATAGATGTTCAGATCTCGCTGCAGCCAGAGGTTCAAGAGGTGCATACAGACGGGTGTCAGCACATGTGCACAGAGAAGGAAATCTGGAGAAATGTGTAGGATGTATTTAGAATATGCTCAAGAAACAYGCACAGAGACAGAGACATCAGGGTATGCTGTGTTCCCCCAAAGTTCAGGCCTGGTTCCTGGTGGGGTGCAGTTGAGGGACCGCCCACTCAAAGGAGGGGTGTCTACTGAAGCTTCCTGGTTCCCTGTCTTGCCATGAGGTCCCATCATGTCCCACATACTCCCAACCATGAGTCCAAGTGCCAGGTTCCAGTGTAGCCCAGGAGGCCACTGTAAGTGGCTTTTCCAACGTCTAGACCTAGGAGCTTTAAAAAAAAAAAAAAAAAAAAGACCTTTTTTATATATACATTATCAACCCTCAGGTTTTTTGTTATAGCAATGAAAAACTGACCAACAGGTATAGAAAGGCATTCGTTAGAAGATTACTGAGAACACAGTAACTGCTTCTCAAAATCCCTACCTCACAATAGGACCCGGTTGGCACAAGCWACTTAGTAACAGTTCGCCATCTGGATGGTTGGGTGACAGGATCCACACACAGGTCTCACTGTCCTGGTGTGGGACAAGGGCAAAGACCATGTTCTGTCAAGAAGCCAGGGAGTCATGGGCTCACTTAGGTCCTTTTCCAAATTCTGCTGCTGCTGCCCTGACCCCAGGACCTTGGGACATGCCTGTGTGTGGAGACAGGTCTTTATAGAGGTGATGGAGGTACAGTGAGGTCCCCAGGGTGGCCCTGTCCAGCAGGACTGGGGTCCTTGTAGAGGAGGAGATGAGGACACAGACGCACACAGAGAGACGGCCCCAGGAGGACACGGGGAGAAGAGGGTGTCTGCAAGCCCAGGAGAGACGGTTAGGAGGAGCCAGCCCTGCCCACACCTGGACCTCGGGCTTCCACCCTCCAGGACTAGGGAGATAGATCTTTGTTGCTGCAACCACCCAGGCGGGGGAAGAAAAAAAGCAATATTTCATTATCAACTGGTCGGTATTTCAAATGCAGGGGGCAGCTGCCCAGCTGATCTGCAGCAATGCACATCACCCCGTTCCAAGGACACCTAATTTGGAGCCCGAGGGGCAAAGCAAGGTGGGGATCAGCCATTCTTGCTCTGTCTCCGTCTCTGGTCACACAGGAGATCTCCTGCACAGAACTAGCCAGATCATTAACATCCACCAGCCCTTCCGGCTGCCTGTGTAGGGAAAGGATTGCCCAGGACTCGGGGGGTGACAGAGATAAGGACCCAAATGTCCCAAGCAGATTCTGACGTTTCTGTCCCCGTCCCCAAATTTCCAAAGACTTGAGCCCCAGTGACCTGGAACCTGAGCTCAGCAGACAGCAGGCAGCAGGGTGGGGCCCATCAGCCGACCCGGTCACTCCCATTAGCTAAGGCTGCGTCCCTTGGGGACCCTAAAAGTGCCAGGGTGGACGAGAGCGGCTTCTGCAAAGTGCATTGCACGTTTAATGCTTCCTGTCACCCCCACCCCGCCCCGGGGTCCCTTGGGCACGTCTGTCGATAACTCACGAAGTGCACTGTTCCACCCGCACGGAAGAGCCTGGCAGGTATACAGTAGGAGCCAATCCCGTGTGCACCCATGGGCGCTGCAGCTGTGCAGGAATCAGASTCGCCATGTGTCCCCTCGGGGCTGAGCATCCTCAGTCCGGGTCTCCGAAACCCCAAAGGCTATGGGGTCTGCAAAGTGCCCGCAGGACCACGGGGAGCCCGCAGCCAAGACTCTGCTCCACGCAGCTGAGCCCGGCACAGAACCATGACTCGAGGCTGTAGGATCCTCCACGATGTCTGTGCCACACACAGGGACTCTGTGGGTCGACTCGGGTCTCGTCCCCATGAGGTCAGGGACCCCTGGGGAGATTCAGAAACGCAAACGATGTGCGATCCTGAAACACGTGGCACCCACTAGGAYGGGWGGGATGGAGCCCAGGGAGAGCAGGRTCAAAGGAGGCTGGAAACGGAGGCCCCAATCAAAGGCTGGGCTCGGTGGGCAGAGAGGGTGTGTTCTGGGCTCTGTGTGTGTGTGGTCAGCTGATGGTGCCTTTGGGATGGACAGGGCAGGGCCGGCAACCAGAGGAGAAGTCAATGGAAAGTAATTAAAAATGGCGRCCACAGGGGACCCAGGAGCTTGGAAGGGCCATTTATAAAATGGGGAAGTTGAAAGAAGGAACAGATGGGGGTGAGGGCAGGGCAGGGAGGAAGTTCAAGGTCGCATCTGTGCAGGAAATGACCCTGGGGGGTATCTGAGCTGATTGGTGGGCAGCAGACTGGACGCGCAGGATGGCCAAACTGTGTTCGCAGTATGGTGTCCTAACGCCAAGACCACGTGTGTCTGTGTGTGTGTGTGTGTGTGTGTGTGTGTGTGTGTGTACAGATTTTTAAGCTCAGAGAAAAGTGTGCAAAGATCCATTCCAGGCTGTCAAATGGTTATCTGGCATTTGGAGACGGCAGGAAAAAAGATAATCCCATGTGGCACGATTTAAAATAAACAGCAAAACGCATATGTCTTCTCTAAGTGGGGGGAAATTTTATACACACCATTAAAAGCAGACAATTGAACACTACAATCAGGTCCATATTCACAAAAGCCCAAAGGGCAGAGCAACCCATTTGTCTGTATATGGATGAGCGGATAAACACAGGGGGGTGTATCCATGCCGCGGAATATTATGCGGCCTTCAAAAGGAAGAGAATTCTGAAGCAGGGTTCAGGGTGGGTGAACCCCAGGGAAATCATACTCCGTGAATTCAGTCACACACAAAAGGACAAGCACTGCATGAGTTGACTCATAGAAGGTCTGCAGAGTCATCAAGCTCAGAGACAGAAACTAGAATCGAGTAGTTACAGGGGCTTTCAGAGGGGAAATGGAGAATTATAAGAGTTCCTATTTCACAAGTTAAAAATCTCTGATAGGGATGGTCCCATGACAGTTAAGAATATTCTTAAGGACACTGGACTAAACGCTGCAAAATGATAAAAGATGGGTGGGAACAGTGGTGCACCACTATAATCCTAGTGACTCAGGAGGCTGAGGCAGGAGGATGACAAGTTGGAGGCCAGTCTTGGCAAGTTAGCGAGGCCCTAAGCAACTTAGCGAGACCGTGTCTCAAAATAATAAAAAGGGCTGGGGACGGGGCTCAGTGGTTAAGCACCCCTGGGTTCACACCCACCCCCCAAAAAAAGAGAGCCAAAGAAAAAAGCCAAGAAAATAAATGTTAAGATGCTACTCTTGATGACAATGAAATTTTTAAATTTAAAGAATGTGTCCATCTTAATTTTTATCTCTGTGACCAAGTCTTTTTCAAATAGTTAAGCAACAGAGAGAGTCAACATGAACAGTTAGCAAAGTGTGGGGACACACGACAAGTTCTCAGTCTCAGGAGGGACCCCATAACCGCACCCCTTAACGGAGACCCTCATAATCAGTCCCATAACCACGCCCACTGTGGCGACGCCTCACTGTGGCCACGCCCCAGCATAATTAGACCCATAAATCATATCCCACCATAACCACGCCCATCACAAACCACGCCCAGTGAGGCCACGCCCCCACCATGGCCACAGCCCATGGTGACCACGCCCCACTATAACCAACCCCATAGTGACCATGTCCCACTGTAACCACACCCTAGTCATAAACCACGCCCACTGAGGCCACGCCCCCACCATGCCACAGCCCATGGTGACCACGCCCCACTATAACCAACCCCATAGTGACCATGTCCCACTGTAACCACACCCTAGTCATAAACCACGCCCAGCTGTGGCCACGCCCCCACCATGACCCACCCCATAGCGACCACACCCACTACAAGTAGCCCTATCCATATCCAGTCCCACTGTAACCACACCCCCTAGCCATAAACCACGCCCCAGTGAGGCCACACCCCCACCGTGACCACACCCACAGTGATAATACCCTGGCATATATCATGCCTCAGTGTAACCACGCCTTAGCCATAACCACGCCCACCATGGCCACGCCCCCACCTCAATTACACCCCATTGTGGCCACTCCCCCATAACCACGCCCACCACAGCCACACCTTAGGGATAACCACGCCCCACTGTAACCACGCCTCCACCTCAATCACACCCAATCGGAACACACCCCACTGTAACCACACCCACCGTGACCACACCTTAGCATAACCACGCCCCACTGTAACCACGCCTCCACCTCAATCACACCCAATCGGAACACACCCCACTGTAACCACACCCACCGTGACCACATCTTAGCATAACCACGCCCCACGGTAACCACGCCCCGTAGTAAGCATGCCAATAGGCCCCTGTAACCACTCCCTCGTGACCACACCCTCCGTGGCCACGCCCCCGTGACCACGCCCCTGCAGGAGCTGCCTGACCCGGGCTCTCTCCTCCTGCGTCTCTAGCTCAAGGCAGGGCTATGGCGGAGGCTGCGCTGTCTGCAAAGTGTGCAGCCCCAGCTCCCACTGCGAGTGCTCCTAATTAAACACCAAACCAGCCTGTTTGTGGGTAGTCACCTGTCTTTAAAAGTTGGTCACCATTTCCCCACAGCGTGCAAAGCTGCCCTGGAAGGAAGCAAGCGTGACCCCGCCCGTTACCCTCTGCGGCAACCACTCCCTGCAACCACGCTATCCGACCTGCCTCCAGGGCCACCAGCCCTGCCCCCAGGAGGCCAGAGGCTGTCTCTCCCCGCACTGACTCTGCTGGCCCCTGTGGCTCCCCTAAAACAAAGGCCCTGTCCACCTCCTGCTTCTCTTCTGATCCTAGGGGATCACGGGGGCACCCACCTGTACTCCCACCAACTCKGGAGGCCGAGTCAGGAGGATGGCAAGTTCAAGGCCAGCCTCAGCAACTTAGCGAGACCCTGTCCTTAAATAAACTGCCGGAAAAAAAAAAAAAGGGCTGGGGATGGGGCTCAGTGGTTAAGCACCCCTGGGATCGATCCTGGGTATTGCAAAAATATTATTTTAAAAAGGGGGGGAGGTCTGGGGACATGGCTCAGTGGTACCCTGCGGTCCCTGCCCAGCACTGAACAAAAACACTAAGCGATTCCTGCAGCAAAATGTGCCCGTTCACCGTCTGAACCCCAGCTCCCCTGCCCAACCCCACACAAACACCCCAAACTCACTACACATCTCCCTATATTTGAGGTTTGGGGACAGGGACGGCTGTTCCTGTGCCCAAACTGTTCTTTGCACAGAATGACCCAGGAGGAGAGACCGCTGCTGGCAGGTCTTTGTTTTTCACCTTCAAACAGGAAGGGCTCAAAACAGTCAGAACACGCAGATCTCTTCCTCCTTCCTTCAGGCTCAGAGAAACCGGAGGGCGGTTCCTCCAACGAACCTCCCCRCTCAGCGCTCCCGGGGAGGGTGGAAATCACTTGCCAGGTGAATGAAGCGACTGACTGTCGGGACAGACCTGGGTGGCACTTTGGAGTCCACGCCTCCTTCGCTAACGGTGCCACCCCACGGAAAACACGTGCCTCGTGGGATTTAGAACCACGACAATCACAGCGCTGGCCAGACATGGGGTGCTCACCTCCAAGGCTCCGCAGCACTAGGTGCACCTTGACCCAGTTCTCAGACTCCCAGCCTCCAGGACCCAGGGGACGTGTCCATTTAGTCACGTCAAAGAAATGCACAGCCTGAAGAATGAGCTCTGTTGTGCTTTACAGTTAAAAAGAAGAAGAAGAAAAAAAAAAAATCCCAAAATGCCAAGCAGGATGGTGCATGTCTGGAATCCCAGAGGCTCGGGAGGCTGAGGCAGGAGGATCGTGAGTTCAAAGCCAGCCTCAGCCAAAGCGAGGCCCTGAGCAACTCAGGGAGACCCTGTSTCTAAATAAAATGCAAAATAGGGCTGAGGAGGGGGCTCAGGGGTCGAGAGCCCTGAGTTCAATCCCTGATAACCCCCCAAAAAAGAAATATTCCCCAAATTCCAGAAAGGAACCCCATGGATGTGGGGCAGGGTAGTACCTTCTAGCTATTTCTCTTTTATAAGCAAAAACTGTGTTTCGGGGCAAGGACATGAGTACATTAGGATTTTCAATCATCAGATTCTAAAGAGGATGCAGATTCCTATGGAAGGTGCCATAGTATTTCTCCCCGTGTGGAGACAAATCGGAATGTTCCAGAAGATTTGCTGAAGGTGATTTTCCCACTAAAAGCTAACACACCTGGCTGGTGCCACCGGGTGGCCCCGAGACCAGGGGCGACGTGTGTATGCCGTGAAGTCAGAGGAGCAGGTGCAAAGAGAATCTGCGCCGAAGACCAAGCCCAGGAGGTTGCTGAAAACAGGAACTCAACCCACTTCGACCTGCTCACCGCCATGAGGCTGAACCAATGGAGCCTCCCAATGTGAGGCTTGCAACCTCCCAGTGAACGAAGCAAACCTCTTTTCTTTATAAAATACCCGGCATCGGGTATTTTGCTACAGTAAAGAGAAAAAATGGACCTAAGGCAAGTGCGGAGGGTGCCTGTCTCTGTGGGTGTGCAGGTACATCCTTGGGGAGGCATCTGGGAAAAACCAGCRTGGCCATTAACATGGCCAATCTGAACTGTCCACTTGATTGGATCAAGAGACRCTGAGGGTTAAGAGGCTTATGGGCGGTCAGTGAGGGTGGGTCTAGAAATGATGGGCGTGAATCAGGATCCATATAATCCAGGAGAGGAACATTAGTAACATGGCGGATGGAAGACGTGGTTGCAGGGTGGAAGGCCCCATGGATGGTGAAAGAGAGTCGCACAGGCAGCCTGCACCTTTGGCAAAATCGATGGGAAATAGTCTTACCCTGTCCCCATGGTCTGGACGTCCATGTTGGACCCTGATCCGCAATGTGTTAGTAATAAGAGGTGGGCCTCCAGGAGGTGACTTGGTCACCAGGGTGCCATCATTACGAAGGGAATTAAGCCTTATAAATGACTCCAAGGGAGGTCCTGCCCCTTCTACGCTATGAGGACCCAACAAGGTGGCGCCATCTTGGAAGAGAAGGGGCCCTCACCAAACACAAGATCAAGGTTGATCTTGGACGTCCGGTCCCCAGAACCAAGAGCAATAAATGAATGCATAATGSTGTTTATAATTAACCCAGTCTCAACCATTTTGTCATAGCAGCCCATATGGACTAAGCCAAAGAGGAAGGATAGATTCATTGGGTAAAGGCTGGACCCATTCAACAGGAAGGAGGTCCGGGGTACATCTTAATGGAAATCTAAAAGATGACTGGAATTAATAAAGCCATTAAGTTTTGTTTTTTTTTTTCCATTAAGACATAGAATCCTAGGATGCTACACCCCCAGTCCTTCTATTTTTTTTTTTTTTTTTTTGAGATAGAGTTTTGCTAAGTTTTGCTGAGGCTGGCCTCCAATGTGCCATCCTCCTCCTTCAGCCTCCAGCCTGGGATTATATACGTGTACCACCACGTCCATTTGGGCTCAACCCATTTCTCCTAAGACAAGACCCTGGGGGATCCCAGGGTGGGTGAAGGCGGAAGGGAAGGCGAGGAACTCACAGCTTGACGAGGAAGGGGTGGTTGACCTCCATGAGGACCGACTTCTCGTTGTGAACATGCTGCTCCTGCTTCAAGCGGATGACCTCGGGGATGCTCATGACCTTGAGGGCAAAGTAGTTCTTAGCAGCCTTCTCCTTCACCAAGTGCACGCGCCCGAAGGTCCCCGTCCCTGGAGAGGAGAGAAGGAACAGAAGCAGTCAAGTCTGTCCACGATGGGGAAGGCCATCCAAGGAATCATCGAGGGGGATCTGGGACCTCCAAACAAATCCCACTGGGGTGGGAGGCTTGGTATCCTGGCTGAGGTACCCAGGTGGTCACTGTCCCATAAACTTTGCAGATACATACACCTATGACAGGGAGAGAGGGGCAGAATCACCTGCTCCCAAATGGCTCTTTCACTTGGAGGGAAAGTGGGCGCCATTTTGTAAAAATGCAAGAAACCACGCCCTGCCCCAGGAAGCCACAGGAGATAATAGCAAATTATTCCTCCAGCCTGGCTGGCTCTCTTCTTCTTTCTTTCAACCATTCTAGACAAATGTCCTCATTTTCAAAAATCAAAAAATGATCTTATTTCAAAATCAGCCACTTTGACCCTGAGGGCAAAGTAATTCTTAGGTTGGTGACCACTGGGTCACCAACTACGCCCCCACACTCCAACCAGACGCCCCATCCAGCATCCACCACTCCCTTCCAGAACTCACCGTGGCCCACCCCATCCCCAAAGAGAACCCCTCCCCTCCCCCCAGCTCTTGGCATCTTTGAGCATGTCCCCAAGCTTTGCGGGATGAGGAGGACGCGTGGGGTCAGCCTTCCCTGCAGCTTCCACAGGACAATCAGGTGACATRGGGTGGAAGATAGAAATAGGGGTGTCTGGGTAAAGGCAGCAGCTCTAGAAAGGCACCCCCTCCCCTTTCTCCCAAGGTCTGAGGTGTCCAAAATATTAAGTCTCAAGAAGATTCTAAGAAGATGGGAACAGGAGGCCCAAAGGCCAGCCTCCATCGGAGACAGACTCTCCACCATGCCTCCCTTTCCCRGAAGGAAAGTCAATTGTGGCCAATGAAGTAACCAACCATGCATGGCCTTGAACCTCACTGACCAGAAGCGTCCAGCTGTGTTCTTTAGCTGAACACCGGGGGGAAATGTGACTGCATGGTTCAGCCAGGAAGAAGACATGGTCAATGCAACACACCAAATGGCCAAACATTGGGGGCCGCCATGTTGGTTTGGTACACGTTGGAGTCCAATGGGGAGCCAGGGTGGTGTGTATTTAAGACGGAGATTGGGGCATGATGTGTGGACCTCTGGAATCCCTCGCAGGCATGAGTGGGGTGTCTGTGGGTCAGGGAATCCACTGGGCCGCCATGTTTTTTTTTGTACACATTGAAATTGAATGGCGAGCCATGGTGGTGTGTCTGTAARATGGAGGTTGGGGCAGGAAGTATGGGCCCCTCGAATCCCACACAGGCCTTGGTGGGGTGTCTGTGTGTCAGGGAGTCCTCTGATGACCAAACTCAGCTGACCTCAGTAGAAGCAGAATGTCTTGGACCATTGTTGGTGGACTAGAGGTGGTACTGCACTTGGGGACAATGTTACTGAGAGTCGCTCCTTGCCCAGGAAGGACCTACAGGGTCCCATCAGGAATGACACCCAGCAAGCAAATTCTGCATGCAGAATGTCCCCGAGTCGGTCACATGACACCTTGTTCCCAGCTATCTCAATGGATCGGCTTCCTCAAACCAAACACGGGGACCAAGATGGCGCCCAACCCTGTGACCTACTTGAATCTACTCAGCTTTCATGCATTATTTTTTCTCAGTGGAAAAAAAATGTACGTAGCGTAGGATTTACCACCATAACCCTTTCTCGTATGCGGTTGAGTGGTGTTGAATGCATCTATGCCGTGTAGACACCACGTTGTGGACACCTGTTGTCAATCACAAGTGACTGACAGATGTGATAGGTGTGGACGGGTAACTGGTCAATAGACGGATGGCAGATGATAGATGGGTAGACAACTGGTGGACAGATGGGCGGATGGATAGATGGACAGGTAACGGGTTCATAGGTGACAATATGGTACCATGACTCTTGAGAAAGCATTTGCATTGTATCGGGTGTCCCGTGACACAGAGAGATGACATAAAGCACACAGGAAGATGGGTGCAGGTTCTAGGCACATGGGGTACCATCTTAGAGGGGAGCTGAACACCCACAGACTTTGGGATGGTGACAGGTCCTGGGACCAAAGGCCAAGACTGGAAAGAGAAGCCAAGACCTTAATTCAGACTCACGCTTCTTCAGAGGGGACAATCTCCCTGGTCCCTCCGTCCAACCCATCCCATCATCCTGAATCCGCCATCTTGCATTCCTCCCTGTGGACTCGGGTTTCATTAGCCAGAGTGAGACTTCTAAACCAGGAGGACAGCCATCTACATCTGGGTCAATGTCCCCCTCGGATAACCCACTCCTGAGCACAMGCCTGATTCCACCTGGTTCTCTCTAAAGTCCCCTAAGACGACCGGAGCGTCCTCATTCCTGGGGATCCCACATCACACCCCAGCTGGGCATCTGCCACAAACTCTGATCCTGGTGGGCACCAGAATCCATTCCTATGACCTTCATTCAACCTTTTCCAAGGTTTGTTCTGGCTCTCACTACGTGGGACCTATTTTTTTTTTTTGACATCAAAGAACTGGTGTGGTGGCCACTTGGACCCAACGCTCGTGTCCGCCATTATGTTGTGAGCAGGGTTGGAAATGTCCTTGGAGAGATGTTGGGAAGCCAAGGTGTGACCTGGGTTTCCACACTGGGGAGACGTCCAACAACCCATAACCCCAGTTGGGTACGATGATAAAAACGAAGACCTTAAAAGACAAAGAACAGAAAGAGACCTTGTCACCCAACACTGAGGCATTAATTTTATCTACAGACGTGAGTCAGTCTTGGCCAGCTCAGAACGCCAATTCACAATGGGTTGTGAATTCAAAATGGYGGCTCTCAAATGTGTTGGTCTTGGGATCCTTTGACCCTCCTCAAAAATGCACCAAGGACCCTCTGGAGCATTTGCTCCTTCATGTAGGGGGTAGGTGGAGGTCATCACCGTAGAGAAAAAAAATTCAAGCAGAAAGAGTTAAGCAAGAGAGGACACCCATTGGCTTTGGAGGGATGACGTCATCGCACTTCAAGGAAGTTCTGGAAAATTCCAACCAACACACATGGAAAAAATGATTCCTGGGGATCCCACACTGGGCTAGTTCRCTCTCTACTGATAAAAGCAACTCCACCATGACATCAGTGTGTTCCTGCAAGGGACACTGTGTCCCTAGAGTACTGAGAATACGCTTTCATCTCTGCCAACAGGGCAAACGGGTAGGTTTAGTTGGCTCTGTTCAGAAAGAAAGAGCAACAATCACACCCTCTTGGCTGCCAAGGAAATGTTACAAGATCCCCAGGGGGTACCTGAAGCCACCAACCATATCAAACGCTACCCCGGCATTTCTTGGAGATACAGCAGGTGGGGATCCAGCACAAAAATAAATGTTGTTTTTTTTTTCCTATTCATATAAGCCTATAATTAAGTTTAATTTGTCAATCAGGATTGGTAAAAGACCAAGAACAAACATGAAAAATAAAATAGAATAACTAATTAAAACAAATCAAACTTCAGAACAACTTAACAATGAATGAATTCTAAGTTTTCACGGAAATTTCCTGTTTTTGGACAGTGGTTAACGTGGGCAACTGTGAAAACTCAGTAAGGGAAACTTTGCCTACCAGGAGGACCACTGTACTTTTAGTTTGCTAGATTTGCAAATCTGCCCTTTCAATTCTCAGTGGGAAGTGATTTTTGCTGTCATTTAAGATCCCTAAATGCTCAATGGAAGCATCACACAACTCTTGAACAAATACCATGAGTTTTATCTAACAGAGGCTGCATGCGTTAGTTCCCTCCATGTCTAGTTATTTCTTTTTTGTTGTTGTTGGGAGGGGACTGGGGATTGAACTCAGGGGCCCTCGACCCATGAGCCCATCCCCAGCCCTATTTTGCATTTTATTTAGAGACRGGGTCTCCCTGAGCTGCTTAGCACCTTTTTTTTTTTTTTTTCTGAGGTTGGCTTTGAATTCATGATCCTGCTGCCTCAGCCTCCCCATCCTTGGAGATAACTAATTCCCACACTATAACCCTCCTTGCCCAACTATTTAAGCAGTTTTGACATCATCCCTAAGTAGGGGTCTGAGGACCCCTGGAAGTTATCTTAATCACATGTCCTACTCCCCCAAAGGGGATTAAAAGTCCATCACTCTCACCCTCCCAAGAAGTGGGCAAACTGCACACAGAAGATTGCACAAAGAAGATTCAGAAGCTTTAAATTACATTCTGAGTGTCATGATGCTGCTCCACTCAACTGGAGACATGAACCATCCCTTTACCCAGTGTATCCAGGCTGTATATGCTACCCTCTCATTAGTTACTTAGACCGTCTCTGTATATGCTACCCTCTCGTTACTTAGACTGTCTCTGTATATGCTACCCTCTCGT